GAGACCCCCAGCCTCCATGCAAGGACCCACTGCTTCAGGACTGCTTGGAGACCTCTGGGACATCTCTGGGTTGGGGGGCTCTTCCCAGCTCTCTGAGTTGCTGCCATGGGGGGACTCGTCCCTGAGATTTGGGCCGTGCCTCCCCCAGCAGCAGTCTGGGCCTCTGCAGGGTGTTTTGGCAGAGCCCCTGGGGTCAAGGCGCAGATTGGAAAAGGTGCCCCAGCCCGGGAGGCTCCAGGCAGGCGGGCGCAGTGCTCAGGGTGTCTGGTTGCAGGCTGGGAAGGTGGTTGCAAACAAACAGGGCACCACAGTCCCACTTCAGCATGGTCACGGTCACAGGAGCCAGCCAGCAGCCACCAGTTTGGCAGTGCCACCCCCGGGCAGCCGTCCGGTGCTCCCGTGCCTCTCCGCGCCCTCCTGCTGGGGTAGGATGGCTTTGCTGGGGGCCTGGGTAGGTGGGCAGAGGGTGCTGGGGTTGTCCAGCACCTGCCCAGCTTGCCCCCACCAGACCCTGCTGCCCAGCGCTGGGCAGATGGAGGGTGACGGCTGCCCACCATGGTCCCACGTCAGCTGGACCCAGCTCAGGGCTGACCATGGCCCTTGCCAGGTCCCTAGGACCCCCTCAGCACCCCCAGCTGCCACCCCATGTGCCCCCTGACCCCTCCGGGTCTCCCCCTTGCTGAACCCCCCTGTCCCCCCAGAACGACTCGCTGGTGCGCCAGATGCGGGAGATGGAGGAGCGCTTCGCGGGGGAGGCCAGCGGGTACCAGGACACCATCGCCCGGCTGGAGGAGGAGATCCGGCACCTGAAGGACGAGATGGCCCGGCACCTGCGTGAGTACCAGGACCTGCTCAACGTCAAGATGGCCCTGGACGTGGAGATCGCCACATACCGCAAGCTGCTGGAGGGCGAGGAAAACCGGTGAGCGGCAGGGGGGCAGGATGAGGTGGGGGGACCAGCAGGGTCAGCTGTTTTTTGGGGCTCCCACCCCATGAGCAGCTGCCTGAGGGCTGGGGCTGGCTGGTGCTGAGCTCTCCCCTCTGTGTCCCCGCAGGATCAGCATCCCCATGCACCAGACCTTCGCCTCCGCACTCAATTTCCGAGGTGAGCATCACCCCATGAGGAGGGGGGCCTGGGACGAGTCCCTGGAGGTCCCCAGGGTGGGGGCAAATCTCCTTCCTGGGGGGCTGCAGCCAGGCAGGCAGGTTGGGGACCCACGGATGTGCCCCCATGCCACACGTCCCCACGGTCCCATCCCCTGTGTCCTCCTGCCTGCAGAGACCAGCCCAGAGCAGCGCGGCTCCGAGGTGCACACCAAAAAGACCGTGATGATCAAAACCATCGAAACCCGCGACGGGGAGGTGAGCGCAGGGCAGCACCGGGGGTTGGTGGGGAGGCAGGGGGGGCCGAGCACGGTGCCGGTCCCCATGCTCGGGGCTCCGGTGCTGGCATGGCATGGGGCTCCGGTGCTGGCGCAGCATGGCATCTCACGGTGCCTCTCTCCGGGCAGGTGGTGAGCGAGGCGACCCAGCAGCAGCATGAAGTACTGTAGAGGAGGCTGCTCTGGCAGCCCCAGCACCGGGGGTTGGTGGGGAGGCAGGGGGGGCCGAGCACGGTGCCGGTCCCCATGCTCGGGGCTCCGGTGCTGGCATGGCATGGGGCTCCGGTGCTGGCGCAGCATGGCATCTCACGGTGCCTCTCTCCGGGCAGGTGGTGAGCGAGGCGACCCAGCAGCAGCATGAAGTACTGTAGAGGAGGCTGCTCTGGCAGCCCACTGGCACCTTCTGTCCCTGCCTCCGTCCTGCCGCCAAGCCCCCCTCCCGTCCCCCCCCCCCTCCCCCCCCCCCCCCCCACGGGG